CACCTCTTCAGTTGAAAGTGGAAGGGATTGATTAGAATGATTTTTAAGGATCCTTTGAGCCCCATTTTGTGAAAATCTGACAGATTTCTTTTATATTAATAATGAAAGTAATATAGTATTTAGGATATTTATCATGTTATCTCATTGGTTTTCACAACAGTCTTATACAGTAGGCTTGCCTTGTGATAGAACTGATATATCAGTCTTCTGATGCCAAATCTAGGTCTCTTTCTACTGTTCCAAAGGTGCCTACCCTGGATATTATTTCCATAACTAAATGATAACTACTGGTTTAGAGAGATTTTCTTAGATGTCTAGTATTAGAATAGTGATCAGTTCTCTCAGTGGTTGGTTTTTGTATGTTTTTCTGTCTTAATACTTATGAAGATGATTCTACTCATTGTTAGATCATGTGCTATGAGGTGATACACATAAAGCACTTTGAAGAGTATATGTGTTAGCTGTCATGTAGTATGGATGAATTTTCTCTCATCCATTCACATTTTCTCACTCGGCCTCCTTTGTGACAGATGTTTTGTCAAGTAGGATTAGCATTGCAAAACTAAATGGCTCAAGCAGTCATGACCCTGGCCCTGGTGTCCTAAACAAGTAACTGTAGTTGTACATGTTTTTGTAGATACATTAGAGAGATCCCAATCCTGCAAACAAGTTATTTCTCAAGAAGAAAAAAGACCAGTAGAGTATATTGAGTAATTTTTTTATATATAAAGTCAAGGTCAATGAGTGACCGTTAACCTTGCTTAGCTTATATATAATCAGTGAAAGTAGGATAATGTGATTACTTCAATGGACTATAATTTTTATTTCAAAATAATTTATGCCTCATTCTTTTTATAGCATCTTGCATCATCATTACTTATTATGTACAATTTTATTTCATATATAGTTCTACATCTACATAAAATATATTTAGTTGAGTCAGCTGAAAGGAAGGAGGAAAAATAGAGAAGCTGAGGAGAATGAACTTGTATATAGATCCTTTCAGATTGGTTATGTTAAAAAAGATATATTTTAAAAGTAACAACATTCTAGTGCTTACTACTGTGAGGAAGAACTGGTGAACTCATCACTGGTATGATGAAGATTGTGTTTGGTCTTAGCATATTCTGGGGTCTTGGGACAACCATATGTTATAGCTCTATATACACTTTGGCCTTCTGGTCTTTATTGTTGGAACAAATGAGTCATGTGTGGACCCCTACAGAATTATTGTAATATGAATTTTCCATCAGTAATCTTATACACTAAGATGTGTCATGTTTGAATTTCCTAGAATAGAGATAGTCTACATAGATCAACAAAGGACATATTAGTAACAAGCTTTCATATATATATATATATGTGTGTGTGTGTGTGTGTATATACACACACACACATATATCCCCTTTCAGTTAGAAAATCTAAAAGTAAATATGTGTCTTCAGAGATTTTAAGTGTCATTACTTAAATTCATCAGAACATCACACCTTGCATGCCCTTGTGCTATTTAAATATCTAACTCTAGGCTACTACTATTTTAGGTACTTTGTTCAGATATGGCTGCTTTGCATTTTAAGGACATACTCTCTTGTCTTATCTAGTAGACAGAATTTGTTTACCTGATACATAATACCACCAGTATGCTTCTGTCTGGCGTAGTCTGAATGTGACCTATGTAAAATTTAGTCATTTAATTCCATTTTAACTAAAAAGCTTTTTAGGATTGACTTTCTAGTCTTCTTATACCTAACTCATTCTCTATGTATCCTTTGGCAGTGACCTCCTCATACAAAGCACTCCATTCCCTGACTCTAGGCATTTTCATTGGCTATCCCTCATGCCCGGAATTCTCTTGTCTCCTCACTTTTACCTTTGGCTTTCCTAGCTTCCTTCAAGTTCCAGCTAAAATACCACCTTCTTCAGGAGGCCTGTCTGGATTCTTCTTCATGCTAATGCCTTCCCTTTATTGATCATCTCCAATTTATCATGTATGTCTTGTTTGCATGTATTTTGTTTTCATATTGTCTCCTCCATTAGAGAGTTTCTTGAGAGAAAGGATGGCTCTTGCCTTTCTTGTATCCTAAGTGCCAGAGTGTCTGGCTCATGATAGGTGCTTTATAACTGCTCGTTGATCTGTGGACTTGACTTTCAAAAAGACTTTTTGTGTTAGTTGATAATGAAGTACAATATCAGTACTTTCAGAGAAGTTATTTAAACATAGTTAACAAGCATTTATTAAGCCTTTACCATGTGCCAGTAGATCTGCTCTTTTGCAGTGTTATGGCTGTTTGTTCACGTAAGAACTACTTGTGATATTCTGAAGATTTCAGTGTTTTTCATGGTTAAAAATGCTATAAATGAAACAAGTAAACTATGCCTTGCATACTCCATTTAAAAGTGTGTAGTATGTTGGAATGAAATGTCTGAAAATACAAAACTTGGCTGTATTTTAACTTAGTTTTTATTATTTCTACTTCAGTATACTATTGTGTGAATCACACGGATGCCAGCAGGAGGCATTTAAGCTTTTCTTTTTCAGTAATCTTACCACAGCTTATTAGTAACCAGCTTTCTCAGTATTTTGTTCAGTTCGCATATTTTATAAAAGCTCAATTCAGCAAACATTAAGCTGCTCTTGTGTATAAAGTATTATTTTAGGCATTGAGGATGCTCACTTGCCTCTCAAATAGGCCCTACCATCACAGAGCTTACAATCCTCTTTTACTGGAGTTGAGGGTGGTGGGAGAGGGAATTGGGGGAAAAAAGCAACAAATAATATATTATATACTGTATATATAATATACAATATATAACATGATAAAATACAATATATAATAATATACATTGGAGAGATAATATAAAGTTGGGGGAAGGGCCTTAACAATTTGAGGGTATTCAAGAAAGGCTTCATATGGGAGATGGCACGTGAGCTGAAACTTGAAGGGAGGTTGGGATTTGAAGAAGCATATAGGAGGGGGAACATTTCAGGTATGGAGATCAATCAGCTTGTACAGGGGCATGGATGTGACAGATAGATTGTCTTGTACACATTTGGTTGGAACAGAGTGAGTGGGATAAACATGAAATATACTTAGACATAGAGGTTGGAGTTAGATTGTTAAGGCTTTTGATTGGCCAACAAAGAAGTTTGTATCTGATCCAACAGGTAGTAGGGAATTACTGAAACTGTGAGCAGATGAGTTACATAGTCAGATCTGTGCTTTAGGAATTTCAGTATGGCAGCTGTGTAGAGGATGGATTAAATAGTGAAGATATTAAAAGCAGGGTGACTAATTAGGAGACTGTAATAGTCTCCTATTGAACAGTGATGAGAGAGAATGAGGCTAATGGCTTTGCGAGTGAAAATGAGATGTGGAGGTATAGTTAACAAAATTTCCCATCTGATTGACTTTGGGTAGGAGATGAGGGAGAGTGAGATGAATTAGAGTTGGTGCCAAGAAGGCAATCCTGGTAAATTGTGATGGTGATCCTCTCCACAAGAAATAGGGAAGTTAGATGGAGAGAAAGATTTAAAAAAAGTGTTTTGGACCTGTTGAATTGAATCACTTTTGTGACATCCAGCTGAAGATGTTCATCCAGTAGTTGGTAATGTGGGTGGGTGGTCATGCGAGATTGTAGCTTCAAATAATAATAGTAACAATAGCTAGTGTTTTTAAAGTTTACGAAGTACTTAACACATCTGACAAGTTTACAACCTTATAAGATAGGTGCTATTATTATCTGCTTTTTACTCCTGAGGAATGTGAGATAGAGAAGTTAAGTGACTTGCTCAAGGTCACACAATCTGAGGCCAGATTTGAACTTCAAGTCTTCCTGATTCCAAGTCATTATCTTTATCTCTGGTCCCATCTCATGTAGATGTGGGCATTATCTGTATAGAGGTGATAATTGAAGCTATGGGAATTGATGAGATCACACAGAGTATGAAGAGAGAGCAGGGGACCAAGGAGAGAGCTTGTGCTTTTTTTTTTATTTATTAATCTAATGTAAAATGTAGCATAAGAAAATTGCATTATATCCTCAAGTGGTCTCCAGAGTTACTAAATTATTCCTCATTTGGGTGAGTTAAATGTACATATTGTAGCCAAGTAGCATTTTTAGTGCTGAAGGACTTTGGGAGGCTTATTTTTCAGAGAACTTGATCATTGTTTGTCATTGTAAATTGCCTAACTCAAAAAGAATTTTTATTGGTGAGTGCTTTCAGATTCTCTCCTTCAGTATTTTTCAATGTTAAGAAAATTTACTTAGGTCATTAGCAACATTTATCACACATGAAACATGTTAGCTATTACTGATAAGAATTTTAAAGGTGAATGGTTTTAAAATGATAAAAGAAAAGGTCACTTAAAAAGGTATACTGACACTTCTGTTTTCAGGTCTATTCAACTAGCTTCATGTCATAGCACAGAAATGGTTGTATAGCCTCGGTGAATGGATAAGGCTAGAAATATACAATATAGCTAAATTTGATAAATATTATTCCATGTTTAAACATGAAAACAGCTGTTTATGTATGTAAAATTTTGGAGTTGCTATCTAATGAAAAGAAAATATACCTTACTATGTGTTTTATCTATAATTTTTAAATCCTTTTATGTTATTCTCCTTATGGGAAATATTTTAATATAGATTGGCTTGATGCATGCATTTGTTTTGGGAAGAGTTGCTATTCTCCCCTAATTTTTTAACTTTAGAAATTAAGAAAGGTACTACACTTTTTGGGGCAGTGTAAGGGATGCCTACTACAAAAAGTTGTATGTATTTAAAGGAAATTTACAATATACAATCTTACAAGGTATGTTTTGTAGTTTTGAAGCACTTTATTAAGTCTTGGGGTTCCAAGATACTTTGTATGATTGATGGGAATGTTTCTGAGTATTCTGTGTTACTGTGCACATAATGAATTTAACAAAAAAAAATACAAAGTAACGTAGCTTAAATAAATGCCTGATACAGCCCATTTTTCCCTTCTTTTTAAGGTGGTTTAGGTTAGAATCTAAACAAGGGAAAAGAGCCAAAGACAGAGGAGAAATAAAGGTCAACATTCAGTTTATGAGGAACAATATGACAGCCAGTATGTTTGATCTATCAATGAAGGACAAAACAAGATCTCCTTTTGCAAAACTAAAAGATAAAATGAAAGGCAGAAAGAATGATGGGACGTTTTCTGATACATCTTCAGCGATCATTCCAAGTACGCATATACCTGATGCTAACACTGAACTCTCAAATAGTGAAGTACAGATGAAATCCAAACCAAAAAAGCCTTTTCTTTTGGGACCTCAGCGACTCTCTTCAGCTCATTCAATGTCTGATTTAACGGCATCACATGTTTCTTCAGAGAAATTGAAGACTAGCACTATTGGTCATACACATCTTTTCAGGCGCCAGTTAGAGTCTTTCGAATCTGTTGAGGAAAGTGGTAAGTGAAATGTTTTACTAGGTATTTTGGTGGAAGTTTGAACTACCCTTTGATTTTCTTACATATAATTTTTAAGCTAGAAAATGATTTTTTTCCTTTTTTTTAGAGTTTTTTAAGTTGAGCTCTTCTTAATCCTTTTATTATTAGTAGGTAATGTAAATTCATATCTGTTTATAGCAAATTTTCAGCGTGAATTCTTTGGTTTTAAAACCACCTTTTATGGCCCAATTCTCTTTTATTGCTGTTTTTGCCCATATTGAAGACTTTATAGCATTTAATTCTGTATAAGATTGTGTTACAGGATACACACTTTCTGGGGTCAAAAATGTCTTTGAAAATAAATCCTTCATATTAAAAACAAGTTTAATAGTAAATGATTTAAAAAACCCACACAAATCCTTGAAATACTTTACAGTTTTCTCATGCCAAGAAGATACATTGACACTACAGTTTTGTTTACATCATGTTTTGTCTGAAGTGAGGAACTTACTAGGCATAGTAGTGCAGCAATTGTTATTAACTTAGAGCCTTTATGCTGTTATACAGTGACTTCTTAAGATGAATTATTTTACAAGATTATTTTTAAGGTTAATATCTTGAAATAACTAATTGCTCAACTTCTAAAAGCAGAACCAGTGTGCACGCTGAATGTGTCAAATAGTATGATGTAATGTCTCACTGGCTATGTATTAACTACAAAATTGTTTGCAGGAAGTCTCAAATCTCCACATAGAAGAACATTAAGTGCTGATACTTCTAAAATCAACCAACCTGACAGCATAGTTGATGAAGGTGAATCATCTTTTGGAACACAAAATGACCCATTTACAAATGTGACTGCTTCATTACCCCAAAAATTTGCAACACTGCCAAGAAAGAAAAATCCATTTGAAGAAAGCAGTGAATCATGGGACAGTGGCGTGAATTTATTTTCAAAATCAGTTGAAGTCAAAAAAGAAAATAAAAGAGAGAAAAGGGAGAAAGTTAGTCTTTTTGAAAGAGTGACTGGGAAAAAAGATAGCAGGAGGTCTGACAAACTTAGCAATGGGGGATCGGACAGTTCTTTTGACTTGAAATCACCTAATGCATTTATGGAAAATCGCCAGGATTATTTTGATTATGATTCTACTAACCCGTTTACAACAAACTTCAGGACTACAAACATGATGCCGTCTTCTAGGTAAGCTTAATCTTAGAAGGGAGTATAGTGTTTTGAAAAGTAATGTAAATGGAATAAAACACCCCAGATGTTTGCCATTCATTCATTTCATTTAAATTACGATTTTTGTTTATAATATTTTATTGTAGCAGTATTTGTGTAACTTATAACAGTGGTTCTATCTTTGTAACTCAGTGTGGCAAGAAATCCTTCCTTTCTATTTTCTCATAATTTTTAAAAAGTCAGCAAAATTTAAGGAATGAATGATATTTTTTTTGATGAGATATACTGATGGATATCTTGCTTTACTTATTTAAAAATTTTCTACTTTGAAGATTGTTATTGTAGGTATTAATGCTTTAAGAGACCAACCCCATGCCATATCCCTTGAGAGCAGGAGCAGACCAATTGTGTAGTCTGTAGACTACACTTTGAAAACCACTACCTTACATCTAAAGTTAATTTTTATAGTGCTTTGGTTTTTGGATGAGTAGCCATCCTCAGAAGATAGTTAGAGATTTTTATATTGTAAGCATTTGTTTCTTAATCCTTGTAATATTCCTTGAGGCTCCAAGTGAATAACTATTGCTTATGTGGTGCCTTATACAGGATGATAGCACTATCAGTCTCAAAGCCAGAAGTAGAATTCAGAATTCCTGATTCACATGTAATGTAGTAGTCTGTGTCTGTCAAGGAATATATGCATTCATTCTCTGTTTTTAAGGAAAGTATCAGATGTTGGAGAATATGAAAATATGTTTGTAGAGATTGGCAATAGTTTTACGTGGAAAAGCAGTAATGAGATTTAGCTATATAACCAAGGAGTCATTTCTTTATATTCTTTGAGACAATTGCCTAATTTCAGAAGCTCTGCTTTATTTATTTCCCTTCCACTACCTGTCAACCACTTCACCCCACCCCCTCCCACTCCCCTTTTTTAAGTAAGGAAGAATTCTGTTGAAAAATATTGCATTACCTATTTTCTGTGTTTGAACTCTGTTGAACAGAAAGATCTATGAAGCAGAATTGGTACTAAAAATTTAGAAGAAATGTATACTTTTTTTTTTTGCCTTGAGAAAGACTAAGTGGTTTGCTATGGTTAAAAAATCCACTGGATTTTTTAACATGATACCCGAAAGAAATTTGTTGTTATCATATATAGTATTGCCATTTCATTTCATTGAGAAATATATTATATATATATATATATATATTATTATATTATATATATATATATATGTATATATAGACACATATATGTGTCTACATATATACCCTGCTTTTAAATATTTTATTTTCTTTATATTGTAATAAGTCTCGTTTCATCAAGTCCTAAAAGATCAGTGAACATTATACTATGGTTTTATATTTCAGAAAATAAAAAAAATCATAGAATGTTAATTATGAGGATTCTTTTTATAGACGAGGAAATTGAGGTTCAATTAGGTGCACTGTTTTACATTGTTTAACATTTACATAGTGCTTAAAGGTTTGTAACATGCTGTATGTAATTAGTTGACATTACATAGCTTATAAAAGGTAGAATTTAAACCCGGGTCTTCTAACTAATTTTAGTTCTTTCCATTATACTATGATTCCTTCCCCCTTTGCTTTTTTCTGTTTTCTCTTATTTAACCTTTTATGCAGAAGTTTGGTCTAAAACAAGATAGTTACTTTAAAAGGCCTGAATGAGTTTTGAGTAGCTTTAAATTCCATGTAAGTGAAAAAGAAAGTAGTAGGATAAAGTTTTTTAAATTGTAAGGTGTTAAAGTTTGGTTGACCAGGTGAAATTGGTGTTACCAAATCTGGAATTGCAGGGCCTTGTGCATCTAACCCAGTGCAGACACTAATAAGAGTTTTGAAATCAAGAATTCCATTTAGCCAGATCTAGGCTTGCCTGTGGCCTGCTTCAAAGTTAATGCAGACTTTTCTGATGAAACTGGACTGTTTCATAATATAGTTAAGTTTTATATAGGTGAATTAGATTATCAGTGACCGTTTTCAATAATGATATGCTAAATGTAAAATGCCATAGGTTGACAAATTTGTTTGAAATCTAGGAACTAATTTCAAAACCTGCAGAAAGAAGTTTTTGGCTTTCAAGGAAAGAAAAACAAAAGGGAAAAAAATAAAAAAGAAAACATGCTACCCTAGGGCATTGGTTGCCAGTCTCATATAGAGACCCAAATTAGAGTCACTGAATATTGACAGAAGACTCTTTAAAGGATCCTCTAAGAAAATTCAAAGACTATCCTACTGGTTTCTAGATAAAGTACTTTTTGGGGCAAATGTAGGAAAATGAAGATAGTAACCAATGATTCCTTTCCATATTCCCTCTATTTCCTCTCCCTATCCTTCTAATGGATTCTCCCTTTTCCAACCTCATGCTTACCACTTTCTCTCCCATGCCTCTGATGATTTGGCATTTGATCCTTAGAATACCTTACTTGAATCCAGTTGCTTCCTGGATGAGTGGCACAGTCTGGCACATTGAATCTCTTTTCAAGTTATTGTAATTACAAAATACAAAAGCATATCAATTGAAAAAAATTACACACATCTCTAGTTTCAGGTAAGATTTCCCACGTCAATGGTGCTTGGGATTTTTCAAGACCTGTAATATAGTATGGTAAAATATATAATAACATAGTGCATACCTTCAAGATTATGATTTTTTAAAAAAAATCTCATCATGTAAAAATGCATAACAGAAACACAGTGGTAGCTAGTTTTTATTGGTAGTGTATAAAAGAAATGGTAAAGATATTGACTTAAAAGTAAAATGTGATGCCTTACATAGAATGATAGCACTATCAGTCTCAAAGCCAGAAGTAGAATTCAGAATTCCTGATTCACATGTAATGTAGTAGTCTGTGTCTGTCAAGGAATATATGCATTCACTCTCTGTTTTTAAGGAAAGTCAAGCTCTTTGGAAAATAGCCTTATATATACATTCAGAAGTTATTTCAATGCTCAGGAAGGTCTCCTTTTAAAAAAAAATTTGTCTTTTATTCTTACCTACTTTCCTATCTTGCCCTTTACAGTGATAATGCAATTTAGTTGATTTTTCATACTAAAGCACAGGATGGATATAGTCTGTTTATTGTATGTTATGATTATGTCATAGATAATATCAGTAAGACATGTGCTTTGAATTGTTTTCTGTTAATGGTCAAGGATGTCACATTTTCACTGCTTCTCTTTGTAACTAATGATGTGCATTTGTGAGAATGTTTGGTCTGGGGAACTGTAGGAACTGAGTATCTTCTATTTGAAGTATTGGTCCATAGCTGAATTGAATGATAATAGCCAGCATTTATGTGGTGCTTTAAAGTTTGCAAAGCTCTTGAAATATCTCATTTGATCTTCCCAACACCTCTGTGAGGTAGAAGCTATTATTATCTCCATTTTATAGATGAGGAAACTGAGGCTAAGAGAAGGTAAAGTGACTGGCCCAAAGCCATGAAGCTGGTGTCTGATGGCAGTGTTTGAACCCAGGTCTTCCTGACACCAATTCTACTGTTCTGTCAACTATGCCACTTAGTTGCCTCCGTCTTAGTATCATACTAACCATAACAGGAAAAGCAGAGATTTATCTTAAGTGAAGGGTACAGTTTATTTTGCTAGAGAGAACTGTACTAAAGAACAAGTTTAAAGTATTTCCTGGTTTTTCATTCCGTAATCAGCAAAGTCTTCCAGAAAAAAAAAGGCTTCATATTCTAGGATCGTAGAGTGAGAGCTGGAAGGAACCTTAGAGGCCGTTGTGTCCAACTCCCTCCTTTCATAATGAGAAAATTGAGCAACAGAGATTAAGCGATTTGCTGAGGATCACACAGCTGTAAGTTTCAGAATACTTGGTTGTGTCTCTCTTATCATGGTGTTGCATGGTAATGATGCAAGTGATGGAGAATTTTAATCTGTCTTGACTACATAAGCCACCTTCGTGTGTGGTGATGAAGGCAGTGATAAGACTAGCAAATAGAGTTGCTTTGGGGCCAGGGAGATGAGTTCAAGGTGACCTCTGACACATGCTAGCTGTGTGACCCTTGGCAAATCTCTTAACCTCTTAATGCTCTGTATAGCTTTCTAAGACTGAATTGCAGAGAAGATACCAACATCCCTCAAAAGAGGGAGTTGCTTTATCTTTTGAGCTCTTTGAGGATAGGGCACTATCTTTAGCTTCCCCAGCACTTAGCACGTAGTAGGCATTGGTGCTGTTTATTTACCGACTAGAGTTTCCTATACCAGCAAAATCACAGGTTCACTCCCTATCCCTATCTATTATGTGACTTAATTTTTGATATTTCAGGTTAGTTCCTTAGATTTTAACTGTAATCTGAAAAGTATTTTGCTGTGGTATGATATACCTAAAGAATGGATTGCTAAATTGGAGATGGAGAACCCAGCAATTTGTTGTTGATTTCTTTCTTAATCCTGTTTTTTGGTTACCAGCACAATTTTCATTGCTTTCCTTCAGTCGTTCTGGAAGGTTCCTGGTGTTTTGCTCCATTGTTTTCCCAGTTCTCTCCCTGCTGGACTAATCATTCTAAAGCACTGCTTCCCCCCCCCCCCGCCATTTTCAAGAACCTAAGATATTTCCCTTTTGCTGTTATATCAGATCTAAACTTCTCTGCTTATCCTTCAAGACATTGTAATTTAGTACCTGACTTATCCATATCTCTCATTACTGGCTGCCAAAATGCTCTTCTTAGGGTAAGGGTCTGACCGTGTCATTCCCCTGTTCAGTAAACTCCAGTGATTTCCTGTTACCTTCAGGATCAGGCACATAAAGCGTGTAACCTGGTTCCAAATTCTATTTTCAGGCTTGATATTCTTTACTACTTTATGTGACTTACATGATCCATTCAAACTGGCTTTTTTTCCCCACACATGACATTATTATATCTTTCATCATTCTATCAATCCAGCCCCCATGTATGGAATGCATTCCCTTCTTTTACTTCTCCTTTTAGGAATCCTTGGTTTCTTTCAAATCTCAGCTTAAACACTAGCTTCTACAG